CCCTCAAACACAGACTGGAACCTCTGCTTCAGACTGGATTTAAGTTTACGTTGACAAACTGAAGCCAAAAGCTCTGAAAGGTTAAAGAATATCATTAGCATCATAACAATTCCTTTCAATAGATTATTTGTTCTTTCTGCACTTCTGACTGAAATAAATTTATAATTTCTCCATCAGGTTAAATCTCTGTAGAAATCTTCTTACTGCTCTGCAGACGCTCAACCAGCTCCTCCTGTTTCATCCTGCTTAGGAAATTCAGTGTGATCTTAACCAAAGCCTTTCTGCTGCTCCTCATATGCTCCTCATCCTTCCACTGACTCTCTAAGCCTTCTGGGTCATCTGGACTCAGAACCTTCTGGATCTTTTTCAGCTCCTTCTTCACAAAACCAACAATGTTTTCCTCCAGCAGCTGAACAGAACAATAAATGAAGGGTAAATCACACTGAGATCATGGAGCCAAACATCAGATCCATGTTGGACAGACTGACAGTCCCATGGAGAAGTAGTTGTAGTTCATGTACAGACCATAAATATGGAGTCCAGCTGGGTTTGATGCTGCTGGGCAGATGGACCACTGGGAACCTCTGAATTCTGCTGGTCCACTCTGTGGAGGAACCAAGAAGCATTAACTCACATTCTGTAGAACAACAAACAGAAAAAGGCCAAGGTCCTTTTGGTGTCCTGATCCAAAAGCAATAAATGGGGAAACCTTTCATCAGAGTGGAAGCTCCTCCTGATCAGAGTTTGGATTTCTGATGCTCAGACTGATGTTAAAAATAAGCGAAATTGATGGAAATTCATTTAGAATGATAAGTTTAAGATTCCATAGAATCCATAAAATACTATAGCAGCAGCCTATGTAAGAAAAATAAAATAGGCAAGTTCATGCAAAGTCCAAAGGATGGTTGGAGATTTTTACATCCTTAGATAAATCAGTTTACTTCATGATTAAAATGGTACAACATCCGCATCTTATACTCAACAGGAGGATCCATGGAAAAAAAATGATGCAGGTGTTTAGTAAGTAGACTTAGAAAAACTTTAGTTTCATCTCGTATACTCAGTGTATATATAACAAAATTTCGATACATACAGCTTTTCAACAGTGAAACAGAGCAGAGAACATTAGAGAACATTTATAAAGTGCAGCCGTAATGTAAGGTGGCTTTAACAAGACATTTATTTGCTTCAAATGAGAAACATCTTTCATTTCTATATTGATTTTCTATATTGAATAAAGTAAATAAAAACTCGACATAAGAAAGTAAAATTTAGTTATTTCCTCAAGTGAGTTGGTTTGTTTTGCTCTTTACCATCAACAAAAGCTTGCCTTAAACATTTTTGTTTTCCTATTTATTTACAGTATCACTCTTGAACATGAGAGTTAAAAATGATCATAGCAAAGGATTAAACTGGTCATTTATCTTGGTTTGCTGCCTTTAGTTTTTTGATTTAAAAGTAATCTGATTCAACATATGAATTAAAACTGATGAAGGAAAACATCAGAAGAACAAATTCAGAAACAAAACAATCGTTTAAAGTCTAAACTGAGTGCAACTTAATCTGTCATTGATTGCTTTTGTAAAATGTTTAACCTAAATTCTGGCTTTAGCTGAAATCAGTCTGACCCCTGCTGGACCAACAGGTGAACAACAGACCTTTAGAAACACCTCCAGCAATGTTTACCCTGAACTCAATGGAGACTGAATAATTGGAAAAACATCCAGAAAAAAACTGTTTCATTAAAAGGAATAAAAAATATCGAATCAAAACATTTCAAACTGAATCAGTTCAATTTTAAACATTTAAAACATTCAGACAGAGCTCACCTCTTTGCAGCTGAAGGTTGGTCTGATTTAAACTCGATAAGGCGACCCATTGACCAGTCACTCTTTAAGGAAACACAGCTGGGTTCTGGTTCTGGTTTGAGGTTCTGTTGGATCCTGAAGAAAAAACCCTGAATTCAATCTTAGTCTAATAATGTATTTAAAGTTAAACAGTGAAGCCCAGAACTCTAAAGTAACCCAAAGTGGCTCTAGTTTGAAGTGGATCCAAATATTCCTGGTTTCACTGTAAACCGTATATTAATGATGGATTAATAATGAGCTCTGATGATAATTAATAAGGGATGATGTTTGGGTTTGTTAGCAGGAACTGAACAATAATCAGAAAGTCTGGATGTAGAACAGTGTTTGATG